GAAGCCCAAATTTCACTCCCATCACATTGATTATAACTGAGTCCTGTGTATACACCAAACCCTGGCCAAAAAAAAAGGCTATGTAGTGTGAATTACCCCAATAAAAACAGAGAAAGAGGTAGGGAGATGGATTTGGGTAGGCAATCCACCCAGTATGTTTCAGATGACTTCAAGAAGAAATGGGGAAAAAAGAAGAGGAAATGGAACTGGGAACTAAAATATCAGGCAGCAAGGCTGATTTTCTCTGTTCATCTCTACAGAGTTCTTTTTCACTCGCTCCTGCTTCTCTGCACAGTCTGGCTTTCTTTGCCCCACATGGCCCATGACCCAGACAAGGCTCCTTTAACCCACGTTGATTTCTCCTCCCAGCTCAAGTACCCAGACCCCGCAGTGGATGTACTAGCCAAGGTAGGCTAATTGCTGCAACAACCGAGTCTGAACTCTCAGTGACTTCGGACAATAAAATGTTATTTCTTGCTTACATCGCAGTCCAATTTGGGTCAGTGTGTGTGTGTGTGTGTGTGTGTGTGTGTGTGTGTGTGTGTGTTGGTTGAGAAGACCCAAGAAGAATGGCAGCCCTTGATGAAGGGGCTGCTACAGGTGAAGCCTGGCTTGAGGCAACCCAACCCAGGTCTGCAATAACGCCTGACTTAGTGGCAGAACTGTAGGCATGAGCTAACCAAGAAAGGGGAAATCACACCAGGAGTCCACTGCCTGCCACTATATTGTTGGCCAGAGGCCCAGTCCACTTTGTTAGCTGCCTTCCCTCCTCCACACTGTCAGCTTCCGGGACCCCCTGCCACTCTTGCTGGGTGAGTAGGCAACCTGGAAGGCAGCAGGGAAAGCACTGGCTCACATCAGGGCATGTGGCCATTAGAGGGCGTGTTCCGAAGAAGCACTGATTCTCCAGGTGCTGCAACAGATTTGTCCAAAGTGCTATGCAGCTTTAGGCAGTCTCTTGCACCTTCTGGCCTCAGTTTCCCTCTCTCTCCGAAGAGGGAGCTGGATGACCGTTAGATCCTTCCAGCACGGGATGTCTGTCTCTTACAGAGGGGGCTATCCTGTCCTTAGTAGTAGGAGCTCACACTTGCAGCGCACTCACTGTGTTTGGGCTCTGTTCTAGGAACTCCCACATTTATTCCTCGCTCGATGATAGCACACTGTGAGGCACAGGCCCCGTTCTATAATGGAAGAAACTGAGGCCCAGAGACGTTAATTCACTTGAGCAAGATTACCAGTCCCTTGTGGCATACAATATTTATCCCAGAACTCAGTGGTGTAAAACCACAACCACGTACTCTGTGGGTCAGGAATCTGGGGAGGGCTCCGCTGAGTAGTTCTTGTTTGAATGTCTCTTATGCAGTTGCCATCAGAACTGAGCTGGGGCTGCCTCGAAGTGGGACACCCCAGATCACTCCTCACATGCCTATTGCTAATGCTGGCTGCCGGCCTGCAGGTGAGCAGGCCTTCCTGTGGCCTCTCCAGCACAACCTCTCAGGGCATTTGGACTTCCTATATGGAGGCTGGCTTTCTACAGAGTGGGCAACCCGAATGAGCCACAAAGAAGCTGCAGGACGCTTTCTGACCTAGCTTCAGACGTTGGCATAGCACTTCTTTTGCATTCTACTGGTTATAAGCCAGTCACTAAGGGTGACCCAGTTTAAGGGACAGGGACACAGATGTTACCTCTCAATGGGAGGACAAAAAATGTGCACAGGTGTTTTAAAACCACCACAGGGATTCAGCTCCAAAGGCTGGCTCATTGCTGGTCTTTCAGACATTCCTCATGGGTCTCACAGAGGGTTTTGGGTAGAGGAGAGCCAGCTGCTGGTTTCAGTTTTCACAGGGTCCCTCTGACTGCTGGGTGCAGTAGCGTGACGCCCAGAGAGGAGGTTGCTGCAAGACTCCTGGGGAGAAATGACTCTTGGGGAGGGGGGTGGGGAGGAGAGGGATGAAGGGAAGTTGTCAGATTCTGGATACATTTTGCGTGTAGAATTGATAGGAATTGCTGATGGATTGAATGTGGCAGGTGAGAGAAAGAGGGGAATCAGAGATGACTCTAAGATTTATGGCCTGAACAGTGGCAAGAAAATGGAGCTGCCAATTACCAAGATGGGGACGATCGGGGGAGGGGAGGCTGTTGACACATAATTATCGCACCAAGCTGCTTTCAAGCTAGGTCTGGTTCCGGGGAAGAGGAGAGGGATCAAGAACATTTACCTGTGCCAGACACTGTGCTGGGTGCTTCACATATTGTGGTAGGCAGAATTGTAAGAATGACTCCAAAGATTCTGGCCCTGGCTTAAGCCCCTCCTGTTTGAGTATGGGTAAAACCTCTGGATATAATGAGATATCACTACCGTGATTATGTCACGCTAGAGGCCCGGTGCACAAAATTTGTGCACTTGGCGAGGGGGTCCCTCAGCCTGGCCTGCACCCTCTCGCAATCCGGGAGCCCTCAGGGTATGTCCAGCAGTCAGACATCCTTAGTGCTGCCGCAGGGGTGGGAGAGGCTCCCGCCACCACCACTGCGTTCACCAGCCATGAGCCCAGCTTCTGGCTGAGCAGTGCTCCCCCTGTGGGAGTGCACTGAACACCAGGGGGAAGCTCCTGCATTGATCATCTGCCCCCTGGTGGTCAATGCGCATTATAGCAACCAGTCGTTCCACTGTTCAGTTGATTTGCATATTAGCCTTTTATTATATAGGATTAGAGGCTCGTTGCAGGAAGATTCGTGCAAGAATAGGGCTTCCTCTGGCCTATTCCTGCAAGAATAGGGCTTCCTGGGGCCGGAGCAAAGCAGGACGCTGCCTCGCTCCCTCCCATCTCTGCTGCCTTGGCTCTGCTCCTGTCTCCGCTGCCTCGGCTCCCTCCCTTCTCCACCGCTTCAGTCCCTTCTGCAGAGCTTGGCTTCCTTCTACGCTGTCTTCAGTCTTCGCTCTGTGCCTGCATATGCAAATTAACCACCATCTTTGTTGGGTTAATTTGCATACTTGCTCTGATTGGCTGCTGGGCATAGCAGAGGGACGGTCAATTTGCCTGTTTCTCTTTTATTAGTGTAGATTATATGACAAAGGGAGATTATCCTGGTAGACTTCATTTAATCACAAGAGCACTTTAAAAGTAAAATTTTCTCATGTTAGTAAGCAGAAGTTAGGGAGAGTCAAAGGATGAGAAGTGTTTGACATCCTGATGATGACCCTGAAGATCGAGAAGACCATGTGCAAAGATCAGAGAGATACTTCTAGGAGCTGAGAGAGACTCCAGCCAATGGGCAACAGGGAAACAGGGACCTCAGTCCTACAGCCACAAAGAACCGAATACTGTCAACAACCAGAGTGAGCTTGCAAACCGATTCTTCTCCAGAGCCTCCAGCTAAGACCCCAGTCTTGCTGTTAACTCGTGAGGTCCAAGCAAAGAATCCAGGTGAGCCTGCTCAAACTTCTGACTGATGGTGTTGTAAGCTAATACATGGTGTTGTTTTTAAGCCTTGTAGTTTGCTATGCTGCAGTAGAAACTTATTTTACTTAATCCTCACAACCACCCAAAATGGAGGGTCTCATCCCCATTGCACAAATGAGGAACAGGTAGGTGAGGTAAAGGGGCTTTGCCCTGGGTCACACAGTGCCACAGTTGGGATGGAAGGAATCTTACCAACTCACTAGGCTGCTTCACAGAGGGGGTGTCAGAGCAACTGGCAGAGGTTAGGCTGGATGGGGGCCTCAGCTCCTGGTCAAGGCCAGGGAATGGAGTTCCAGTTTCTGATTGCGATTGTGTTCTTCTCAGGGGCTCTGAGTGACTGAAGGTGTATATGTGGGAGTGTCTGTGTAAGCTTGGTGGGGTGTTTCATTGTGTGTGAGTCTGAGCGTGTCTGTGCATCAGAATATAGCTGTCACTGGGAGTGACTAAGTTGTATGTGGCTATGTCTCTGCATGATCTTAGCCAAAAGGCCACGAAGCAATATGGCTGTGTCTCAATGTGAGCATGTGTGTGCCCACTGAAGTGTGTCTGAGTGTCTCCCACTGAGGGTCTGTGTAAGGGTGACTGTATGAGTCTGACAGTGTTTGCCAATGTTTGTGTGTATGTGTGAATCAGTGCTGAGAGAGCCGTCACTGGGGGGAGGCTCTGAGTATGTCTGTGCAGGTCTGAGAGTGTGTGTCTTCGGAGTCTGAGTGCCCATGTATGTGAATTCTGGGGTGTCTGAGTAGTGTGGGTACATGAGAGTGTGTGTGCCCGTTTGACCTTCTCTGTGGGTTTGTGTGAGATCTGAGGGTCTGTCTCCCTGTGTGGCCAATCGTGTCTATGCTTGTTGCTCAGTGAGTCTGTGTACCCACGTGCATCTATCTACCTGTGTGGGTCTGTGAGAGTCTGAGGGTGTCTCTGGGTGGATCTGACAGTGTGGGTCTCTGGGTGTCTGGAGTCTGTCTGTGGTTGGTTCGGCAAGTGTCTCTGTGAGTGAGTACATCTGGGTGAATCTCTCAGGTGTGCGTATGAGTCTGATGGTGGCCGTGATGGATTTTGCAAAGTGAATGCAATAGAGCGGGTACCTGTTTGAGCTCCTCCGTGGGTTCACGCGTGAACCTGAGGGTCTCGCGTGCCGGTCCCTCCTAGTGTGTCCCTTCTGAGCGGGTCTGTGTCCCTGGGTGCGGCCTGTCTCGGTGGGTGGGTGACCGGACGCCTGCATCAGGCCAGTCTGAGGGCAGCGTGTGGGGTTGGGCACGGCCACGGGGCCGGGTCACAAATAGCCTGGCACAGCTCTCCCTTGGCGCACACCTGTCGGGCTCGGGGCGGCGGGCGAGAAGGCCCCTCCCGCGCCCACGGGGCTCCCACGCCCCGGCGCGCGGCGCCCCCGCTCGCGGGCGGCGCCCATTGGCTGCGGCGCGGCCCCGAGCCCGCCCCCCACAGCCGGCGGGGGGCGCCGCGGGCCAGAGAGCGCAGCGCCGCCGCCGCCGCCGCCGCCGCCACCACCGCCAGCACCGCCAGCACCTCCGCCGCCGCCGGGAGCACAGCGCGCCGCGGGCTCCGCACACCGCCGGCTCCCGGCCACCCGCCAGCCCCGCCGCGGAGTCCCGCCGGCCCCGGGCCGCCGCCACCACGCCGCGCGCCGTACTCCGCGTCAAGAATGGGGCGGCCAAGCTGCCCAAGCCGCCCGCCGCCGCCGCGGCCGAGGCGCCCGGCGCCGGGGCCGGCATGGAGCGCTCGCAGAGCCGCCTCAGCCTGTCCGCCTCCTTCGAGGCGCTCGCCATCTACTTCCCGTGCATGAACTCCTTCGACGATGAGGACGCGGGTAAGCGCGCCGCCCCCCCGACCCCCCTCGACCCCGGGGGCTGTCTCGGGAGCCGAAGCCGGAGGCCCCCTCCCGGACCCGGTGCGTCCTTAGAGGCGGCTTCTCTCTTCTCCCCCCGCCCTCTCCCCAGCCCCGCTCGGGGATGCGCCCCACGGTCTCCTTCCTCACCCCCGGGACCCCGGGGTCTCTAGAAGGCGGTGTCTTGCAGCCTCCGCCGCCCCCTGGGGACCCGTAGATCCTCTGCGTTCTCCCCTTTCCCGCAGGTGGGCCCTTTAGGTCGCCCCCACCGACTCTCCTCGCTCACCTGCGCCTACTGGGTGCCCCCTGGCTTGTCCCTGGATCGGACCTGCCACCCTTCCTGAACCTCTGTGTGCACCCACTCCTTAAACCCACGGGCTTTGGCTGCCTCACCCCTGGGGCTCCAGTGCGCCCCCACCCCCCGCCATTGGAGGTGGCGCACAGACCTCAACTCTCCATCTTTTTCCTGGCTGCCTCCAAAGGCTCCCTGCCCTAGACCCCCTGCCCTGCGGCCCAGGCCTTTAGCGCCCATTTGTCTCTCCTCCGCTTCTCCTAGAGGCGGGGTCTCGGGACTCCTGGTCTTATCAGACTGGAGCGGATCCCCAGGGTGGAGTGGGGGGAGCTGGCCGGATGACGGCCTATCCTCTCCTTTCCAGCCCGCTGGTTGGGGGCGGGAGGGAGGGAGGGGAGTGCCAGCTCTACACCTGCGCGCCCCCCGCGTGTGCCCCTGACCCCGGGTGCTCTTGTCCCTGGAGCAGCCTTTTCGGATGGGCTGAACCTGGGCACCATCCAGCGCCCGAACCTCTGACACTCTGGCCTGTGTGCAACCTTAGCCAGAGCCCGAGCGTGAGGAATGTAGGGAAACCTGCTCTTGGGGGCTCTGGGACCAGGCAGAGGGAACATGAGGGCTCCGGATCAGGTTCTGCCCTGTGGGAGTGAATTCACCAACAGGTGGGGTAGCTAGAGGGCTTGGGTGAGAGTTCCCCAAAGAGTGCCACATTGGGAGTCAGAATCAGGTTCCAGCCTTGCTTCTCTACTATTACCTGTGACCTTGGGCAAGTCATGCCACCCCTAGCCTCAATGTCCTCATCTGAAAAAGGGGATGGCAGTGCCGCAGACATAAGGGTGGAGTTAAAAGCGTCTTGTAAGCTGAAAATCTGAGAGCCTTTGTAGTCAATCAGGGGTCAAAGGGAAGAGGGGTGTATGTGGTGGAGAGGAGCAGCATGGCTTCATGGACACTCTTGAGAACCTGATGAAAAAAAATGGACTATCTGTAAAAAAAAAATACACATGTGCACACCCACAGAATTTTGTCCATAGTTTTAGGAAGTCCATGGGCCCTGCTTAAGACTCCTGCCTGCAGGGGTCCTGGTCTGGTCAACCTGTTATCTGATAACCGTGGAATGGAGCTGTGGGTAATGTGGGTCACATCTTCTTGTTGGAGTAGGAGGCAGGTGGGGAAAAAGGAGAAGACTTTGTTGGCTAAGTGAGTGAATGAATGGCCGGTGGAGGGGGCGGGGGAAGCTGGGGGGGGGGGAGGGGTCGGGGGAAGGGGGGGGCGAGGGGGGGCGGGCAGACCCTTGGCAGACCTGTCTTGCTGTAGACCTAGAGATGGGGGTGGGGTAAAGATGGTTACTGCAGAGCCGTTTTACAGAATCACCATTTTACAGAAAAAATAACTGAGGCTCAGGGCCTTAACTTCCCCCTTCAGGTAGCTGAGGGAAGATGTACTATTCTGGACAAGGCAAGGTGAGGAGGAATGGAGGGGCTAACACAGTGGCCTCCATTGGAACAGAATCAGAGAGAAGCAATCAGGTGAGTATGGGGGCTGGGGGAGGGAGCCCTGACTTGATGGTCAGGGGCTCTCCTGAAGTTCAACGGGCCACTTGGGTCTCAGGAGCCAGGCTGGGCAACAGCGTGGGTTTGTAGGAGCATCCATGGCAGCGACAGTTAGGTTTTTCTCCAAAGTCATGCTCCATGTCACGGGTCAGATGCCTTGGTGATTGATACTGGTTGCAGGTGACCTGCTCTGGTTTCACTTAAGTCAGAATAGGTAACTTTGTGTAATGTTAGAGATTTTTTTAAAGGTCCACCTGATGTTTTTTTCAAGTGGATTTCTTCAAATTCTTAAGGTTTTCACTTGGAAAAGACCTAGAAATCATCTTGTTCAACCTTCCCCTCCCCCCCAAATGCATGTGTGTGTGTGTGAGAGAGAGAGAGAGAGAGAGAGAGAGAGAGAGAGAGAGAGAGAGAGAATATGTATATATGTATGTGTGTGAGAGACTGAAGCCCCGGTGTGTGTGTGTGTGTGTGTGTGTGTGTGTGTGTGTAACCCAAGGTCACCCAGTGAGGCAGGCACAAAAAGCTGAGAGTAAAATCAGATTCTCTTTCCAGTAAACCACTAGCCCTCTCTCTGAAAGAAGATTTTTAAAAAGCCAGATCTCACTGTGTAGAAAATGGTTCCCAGGTGAGGAGGCCCCAGGGAACGGCTGACAGCCAAGGGTTTGGTTTGGGCATCTCATGCTCACTGTCTGTTCATCTTCAGGGATGCTTCAGGTTTGGGAGGGGAAGAGAGAAAGTCAAGTTTCATTTCCGGAAGACTAATGAGCACCTGGTGAAAATCGGAAGTAGGGACCGTTGTCTTGGTGCTTAATTTCTCTTGTTCTCCTCAAAGTCATTAATTTTCTCCTAAAAAAAGCCTTTTGGATTTATTCTTTTAGAACAGCATCGCGCTGAACTAATTTCTGAAAGCAGCTTGAATAATGTCTCAGATACTGGACAGAGACTGCTTCAGGGGGACTGTCCGAACGGGGTTCACTCCATTGTCCTCTTCTCCATTCCCGCCCCACGTCCCCTTAAGGGCTCAGAAGTGTGTTTCTGAAGGCCTCTGGCTCATCTAGGTGCCTCCCCTTTTTGCTGCTTCTGAGTCCTGTCGAAGGCATCTTTTCCATCAACCAGACTGAGCCACAGCCATCCTCAGGGCTTACCTGCCACCCTTAGCTGGTTTCCTGAGAAACTGTGTGAGGAGGAGACTATTTCATTAGCCTTAACTGGGCCAGAGCACTTTCCTGTCTTGGGCTTGGGAGGTTTGGACATTTTGTGGGCAAAGGAAGCTGCCCCTTCCTCCCACCCCTTTCTAGCCACCCTGGGGCTTAGGATGCTGGTCATGGCAGATTCCTAGAATTCCTTTCAAGAAGCATCTTCGCTTGCACGCTTAGAACTCCTTTCTTATGCTGCTTTTGGCCCTTTTCACAAAGATGCTGGGTTTTAGGGAGGCCTATACTTGGGGGCATTTTTGTGTCTGTGTCTCCATTGCTCAGCCTTGTTGGCACTGGGTTTGTAATTGAGGAGGAGTTAGACACGGGACCTTGGCTTTCTCATCTGTCTGAGAAAGAAAATAGTAGCATGGACCACATAAGGTCAACATTTAAAAAATGATTGCCTTTGACTAGGCATCCTCCTAGGCACTTTAAATATATTATTTTAATTCTTTCCTCATAGCAACCTTATAAAATGAACACTCAACATCCTCATTTTTAGATGAGAAAATCAAGGCACCGAGAGAGTGTTCGTTCAAGGTCACTCAACCAGGAAGTGAGGGAGTTAGGATTTGAACTTGAACAATCTGACTCAAGCATCTGTTACTTCTAATTATTATGCTGTTTGTGCTATGCAAAGGGTTTAATACAGTCAGTACCTGGCACCAGGTAGGCTTGCAATACCTGTTAGCTATTTTCTGTCTTATTACCAAGACTTGTTTCTGAGCATGATAGTGAAAATGAATCTGTGGGCTTGAGGAAGGGGAAAACCTGGTTCTCAAAAATGTTAGCTTTTATAATTTTTAATAAGCTAATTTTATTGCATTGTTACAGCAATTAAGGCAAAGATTGGCCCTCCTTCTAGGAATTGGTTTAAAGATGGGAATTTGGGGGACTTGCATGCAGAACAAGAGGGTGGGGAGCAGTGCAGCTCCCTGTGTCCCTGTTCTTCCTGAATAGTTAATTTTCATCACATGTATAGTCCTAGCCCTGCCACTCTGCCTTGGAGCACTGCTGGGTCTCCAGTTTTCAGCAGATACGAAAGGGGGGTGTTACATCAGGGTCTGGACTTGAGGATGATGTCCCTGAGTCTGACCAAGTGGTTTTGGTGTCCAGTTCTCCCCCGCCCGGGAGAAGGGCGGAGAAGCTAGAGCAGCCAGCTCTGATTTGCCCAAAGGATGCTTCGATCCAGCGCAGGGAGGAAGTTGCCATGGCAACACCGGCTGGCTACCGGTCCCTCTCCTAGCCATTCGGGCAGCATTTCTGGGCTGGAAAGCTCTTTATGGCACCTCCCTCTTCTACTCGGGCCAAATCTGGTGGGTGGGGTGGCATGGTGGGTGGGTCCCACAAACAAATACCAAAGCCCACTCCCCTTCTCTTTGGACAGACCGGAAATGGAAGGAGGTTGTCTGAGTTACTTATCCTGGGTTGTGGGGCGGAGATACCCATATCCTGCCAGACAGATCCCGGCAGGGGGACTCAGAGCTCCATCCCCCCGCCCTCATTTACTCCACTTGGCAGAGTTCTCTTTCCCAGACCAAGTGCTAACTTTTGTCCTTGAAATTTGACCTGAGGTTTTTCTGGGAAATAAAATGTCCTGCTGTTCCACCCCTTCCCCCTGAAAGAGTGCTTCAGCCCTAAGAGGGGGGCTGGACGGGTGAGGAGGAGGCCTTAAAATATCCTTTGGGGTCAAGGCCACTTGAGGGCATGAAGTTGAAGTTGTGAAGCCTCCATTCCCACCTTCATCCCTAGGGTGGGCCACTTCCTGTCCCCCTGTCCCCTTCCCCAGTTTACCACCCAGTGCAGCAGTCTCCTCTAGGTTTGGATAACTGAGGCACGTTAAAGAATTGAGCCAATTATTCCCATGGTTCAGGTTGTGAGAATATGGACCCAAACTACTTTATCTTACTCCAATTACCCTGAAAGAAGTCTCTCAGGAAAATC